TTCTCAAGTTTCAGTTCCTAAGTGATACTTATTTTACATTAAATAAAATTTTTTTTATTTATTTAAGATCTTTCTTAAATAATGAAAAATTCCTTAATTTTGATTATTTATGACAAGATTATTTATTGGCTTGAAGTGATCTCTCATATGCTTAACGCAAATTGCATGAAAGAAGAATTAACTCCAATCTTTAATTAAAATAATTAAATTTTTCGCTCTATTTGAGAGAGCGCTGGATTTATATTTTGCGATAAAGTTTTTCGAAAAATATCTATTTTATTAAAATAAGATCACGTTTAAACAAAAATGCGCAAAATATAGTTCGATAGAAAATGCATCACGAAGTGATTTTCTTGTCTTTGCATTTTCGCTGACACAGCATCTTACTTTATAAATCCTATAATAAAAGAGAGTCCTGGCGTTACTAACTGATCGTTATCCTTGTCGGGAACTTTACAATGAAGTAGTTCGTAACTTCTGTTCTGATCAGGCTGCATCCTAAGAAAACAAAGTATATCCACGACGGAAGAAAATCGTTACTTCGCCAGCCGCTACTACATGCCGTAAAGCAAAAAGAGTCCTCACTTTATAAACATATTTGCGAAGCTCTCTCTTTTTCTCTCTCTCTCTCTTTCTCTCTTTCAGATTTTGTGTACCGTTTGAAAAGTAGACTCTTTAGATTAATAAATAGGAAGTGCTTTTAAGAACTTCCAACGAGAGTCGAGGATTTCCTCACAATTGATTATTTATATCACGTTGTTGGTTCGTCCATCTACTAGCATACTTGATAATTATTATTGCAATAAATATGTGACATGTAATATTTTAAATTATATTATTATTTTAAATCTAAAAATTATCATCTGCTTATTAACGAACATATTAACATAAAAACCACGAAAAGATATGAAAGTTGAAAAACGTGAAAAAAAAGAAAGAAAAATATAAAAATTGGTTATTCATTGAAACGTGGTATGTTAAATATTATTTGACAGTTAACTGTTAATTTAATTGATCGGTACCATTAAGCGTCGGTTCTAACACTACCAAGATTAAATGCTGACAATCGTAAATCTTCACCGTAAAAGCTAAAGAACTGTGTCTGATTTATAACCCACAGTTAAGTTAACGTATGGCGGTGTCAAAAAAGCCGCGGTAATATATGTCGTAAATTGAAAAGTAACCTCTACCGAGAGAATGCGAGCTGACCTGTTAATTCTTGACGATCGTTTTATCGAGTCTTACTTAATTCAGCGTATCGTCCCCCTTTACTTAGCGCCGCGCGGACGGAGGAGGCTGCCCACGAGATAATTAAACTCCCGGCTCGGCCCGAATGCCCGGCAAGTATTAATGGAATTTATAATGGTCTTTTTGTGAAGGCACTTTAAGCCGACGAACTGTGAAACTCTCCTCCCGAGCGGCAGACTTATAGGGATCGTTTCTGAATGACGATGATTTTGAAACGCGATAACGCCTATTTCCTACATAAATAATAAGTTCAGACCCAGACAGATTGGAACTTGTTAAAGGGGAGATCTGTGCATACAAACGAATAATATGCGATTCTTTATAACTTTGTGATATACAATTTTTAAAAATACTATCTACTATATATATATTTTTCTATTACACAAAATTCTTTCACAAACAAAAATATTTAATAGACGTTATAATTTTCACGTTCACGATTATCATTTTTCTCCAAAATATTTTCTACAAATTTTCTCTATTCTGGTCAATAAAGAAAATTTATCTTGTGATTTTAAGCTTTCCCGAGAAAGCGCTTCCTCGCCGATTGTGCCACGATTTACCGTACACCCTGTATAGATTTATAGCCGTGTGGTGAACTCGCCGGATACCTTTTAACGTCAACGATTTTCGATCGCTGAATTTCTTCGGGGGGTAATTCGATTCGACGCGCGGCGCGGCGGTTTGTTATGCCGTACGAACGTGATGACAACGTCGACGACGTTCTCGGAATACTCTTATTCCTGTCCAGCGTCTCGGGATGAATTGGATTTTTACGGCCACGAAGTTGGCTAAGGAAATAAGGAGCGAAAGGGGGATGGCTGCGGCGGCTGCGAATTCGAGGGAATGAGCGACGCCGGCCGGAATCGAATAACAACGCTTCCTTGAGAGTGCCTCGGCCTCAGTCGGAATAATAAGAAGTCCGTTCCCTCGAGATCGAGAAAATCGATCGCACCCTATCACGTCCATCTCGCATTATTGCCACCGGCTGTTTCCGACAACCCGTCTCCATCCCCCTTACGTGACGACTGAATGTGGCTACGCTTGACGAGGGATGCTATGGTCCTGTGCTCAGGGCCGAATTAAAGATTTTATAAACAAAAGCCACTTTTTTAACGCATTAAACTCCAAAATTCTGAGATTTTCTAAACGTATTTTACGTGTAATGCGATAATTTTAAGTAATTAATATAATACTTTATACTTTCCATATTAAGCTTTGCATCATTGTCTTTGTTTTGCGTGTATTATGTTATAAATGAATTAATTTAATTGCTTCAAACTGAACGATATTATATTTATAGCAGTATTTCAAATAAAATTTAACGAGAAATGGTGATTAAAAATGTTAGATCGCTATCTTAAGAATTCTTGCGCGCGGAGAAATGTAAATTATTTTTTTCCGCGCGTTTTAATTCAGATTATTTATCTTCTTCAAAGATCTTCTTTCAGATCTTCTTCAAAGAACTTTTTCCATCTTTTCCAATCTATTTTTTTATTTTTACAACAACACTTACCATAAAATAAAAGAGATAGATAATATAAACCACAAAACAATATATGTATATAGTCAAAAGAGATTTTAAGTGCTGTGTTTCTAAAATCGTTAGATTTAAACGGTTCTTCGTCCTGAATAATACCTTCGTTTCGCTAATACCCTATTCCTGTCGAATTTGTAGAACTCTATCTAGATAATGCAATCCAGCCCTGTAGATTGCCTAGTGTTCGCAAGACGGCGTCAAGGCGTTCCGAGCAAATCGGAAGGGAAGGAAGAACGGCAGTGACCGAAATAACACACGTCGATGAAATTATCCTTCTCATGGAGTTGGAGAAGTAATTTTGAGATTGTCTTTTTTTTCTGCGACAAAAATGGAGACGCGCAAAATTTCATTTGTCACTTCCAGGAGCAAGGGAAAACCAGAAAACACGCAGCCTTTTCGTAACTGCGGTCCTAAGAGCATGGCAATGAATTGTGTAAAAAAAGAAGGGAAGGGGAGGAAGGAAGAAATAAAAGAGAAAGAAGGAAAAGCAAGAGAGTTTCGATACGGGGAAAGACTGGGCGTATTATCGTTCACGTAAATGGAATCATTGAAACCACGTGCGCGCTGTACGTTTCGCCGTTCATATATCATCTCCCGCAGTTTTCTTCCGCCCCGCGATGATCAATCGTGATTATTCGCGTAATATACGGGGCCCGAGCACGCCGTGCATTCGCGTCCGTGATTTATTCTTTCGAGCTCTGCTTCGCGCAGAATAATCAGTCTAACCGCGTTTTCAAAAGAATTTGTAAACAGGCGTTAACTCAGCCCCGCATTTCAAAGTTATCTTACGCATTTATGCGCTCGATACGAAATACTTGCCTTTGAGAGTCGATGGTGCATGCGGCAGGTTAATTTTCACTCGCATCTCTGATGCGCCCTGAAAAATTAATACGTTGTCTGACGCCAAACAGCTACGCTCCCCCCCGAGCTAGCTCTTTCTCGACATTTAAGTTTCGCTCGTTCTTCGAGAAACAGCGCTCTCTTTCTCGGCACAGTATCTCTTCTGACTCAAAGAGCAGCATCTTAATTTCATCCTTTTAAGCGAAGCTCTAGTGACTAAAATTTCATCTCAGATATGCTTACACCGTGCATAAATATTTATTCCATTAATTACTTAAGGACTCATTATAAGACCGATCTTCAAATTATTTTTGAAAAATTACGTCAATACTTATACAATTAGCTTTTCTTCTTCCGTAAATATTAATGCACTGATCCCATCAACTAAATCTATTAATTAGCTGAGCAAAAGATGTTAAAGATAATTACAGATCACAAAGGAATTCGCTAACCAAGGATTAGCAAATAATCTTTTATCAAAGATTTATCAAACGTATAGATTAAAATGTAATTTTAATTGTTCCTACTCACAAAGTTCTTTCCTTAAATACTCATTAACTTAAAACAATGAGACGTCTCCTCAGACATAAAATCACAGCTAACAGTTACAGAGCTTCTGAATTACTTAAATTGTTCCTTTAACATATACCTTCTAATGCGATAATGGTGATACACACTATTCAATAGCACATATAGCCTCCGCAAGTGCAATTCAATTTCTGCTAGTCTATTCGCGTGATAGCGATCGCGCTGGTCCCAATACGTGACCCAATATGTTCGCCGAAGCTTAGAACACCTCACTCGCTCATTGAGCTAGACCTATATACACGCAATCTGTCCATTTATTTGTTCTACCTACACTTCTGAATCGCCGTTGCTATTTCGTAAGTAATAACGCTTTCGATTACATAAGCGAAGCCGCAATGGCGGTGAAAATCTGATATATATCTAAAATATGATATATACATAATAAAGCCCACTTTGGACGATGTATAATTTGTATTATTTCAGAAAGATTCTATTTGTAACTTTATATGCTATGTATCTTAATATAGGAGCGCATATCTCTCTAAAATGCAACAAGAAAACAAATATAAATTTTTTCTTGGGAAAAAAAAGGCTTTTCATTACATTCATTTAATATTTCAAGAGTTAAAACATAACAGACTTGTTTCTAATTAGGGTCACAGAGTAAAAAAATTAAAGAAAGTTTTAATTACGGTTTATAATTAAAGAATTTTGCGCGACAAGCAGTTTTCTATGTGTCTCGTATTTCTACAATTTTTTTATGTCAAAGTAGACGATGAAAATGAAAACAGAAAATTTGAAAATAGCAAATATTTATTTAACAATTATAACGCAAGGCCAGAAGTGACTTGGGTTAAGCGTTTTACCGTCGTATATCACACTTGGGTTTCTTGATGCCTTCAGTGGTGCCCACCATATGTACCACCATGATGGTTATTACCTCCGGAGTTGTGGACGTGAGCAAAAAATCCTCCGTGCGGATCAGAGTGGTAGGTCACGGTCCTGATATTACCACCCGGTTCCTTGACGGTGTATTCACCGACGATTTTTTTTCCTGCGAACGAAAAACTACTTTTGCAATATACGATGGATGTAGTGACCGCTTGTAAACGTGCATTAATTGCAAAGAATTAAACACATGGATGTGTCATCGATATTACCGTAATGCGCATGCCGCATATTATATATATATTTTACGTCAATATGACTACCGCGATGTTTAATTAAAATGAAGCGCACCGAAGCATACCGCCGTGTAATCTGACCCCGTCATGTATAATCTTTAACCACCGACATAATTTTATACAAAAATAAAAAAAACGTGATTGACGAGAAAAAATAACTGTGTCGATAAGTTAAAATGCGCGGCTCTATGCCCGGCTTATTGCGATTCAGAGTTGCACTTTCGAATTATCTCCCCGTCCCGACGAAGATCCGCCAGACAAACTTTTATCGAAATTTTTCATACACTTTCGGTAACATTTAGACCGCGGCATTTTCCACGCTGTTGCGCGAGTATCGTAAAAAATTCAACAACTCTTTGCATGATTACATAAATTTTAATAAGTTTGATGCTGAATAATTTACGTAGTTCAATATATCGTTAAAAACGACTAAATTGTAAATATAGTTAGTCATATACATTAAACAATAACGTTTACATCACTCTTTATAAAAGGACAAATATAATACAAAAAAATTACAAAATCTACGTAATAATTTTATTACATTAATTAACTGCAATTTCTTTTAGCTTACAAACAATACTGCATTTATAATTATAATTTTTCTTTTTAATGCCATGTTTGCGAACGTTTTGCCAACGGTAATTTTATATAAATTAAAGAGGAAATCCGACTTACCGTCTCTGTGTTCTTTCTGTCCATGGTAATCGCCAGTGTGATGATCCTCAATTCCATACGCGAACTCATACTTGGGATGCGCGACGTAGTCTACATGATGATGACCGTGCTTATCGTAGACAACCACTTCGTGTCCGGGTCCTATGACCGGTCCATGAAAGTGCGCGAAACTGTGAGCGTGCCCTGCCAATCCGCTTTGAATAGTTGCAAGGGCCAATACAGCCAATAACAGGGCAAGCTGCCGACAAATTGTTGCCATTTACATTTACATATACTTCCGCATAAAAAATGGAACAAAGTTTGGGATTTTGCACTTAAAAACATTTCTCCACTGTAAGTGAGAACTTTCTACTTTATGGATTATGAGGAAGCTGTGATAAACAAGTTATTATGATCCAATAAAAAAGCTCATATCAGTTTAGAACTCGATAAAAAAAGTTGCAGCAAAATAAAATACATAAAACATTAGTATTATACATTGAAAGCATACAAAATGTGTAAAAAAGTCGACGATACTTTATTTAAAACAGTTAACAAGAAAATAATTCTTTGTATTTTTAGCGTTGATAGGAATTTATGCAAAAGATTTTATTTTATTATTTATCAAATGTGCAGTAAAATTAAATGAAGCTTGAAATATACATATTATGTTTAGACTGCAATAATGATTAGTTATGAACATATTTATCAAACTTCAACATCAAACTTCACAAACCTTCATAGCCATGCTTTCGATGTTCGCATTGATTCCTATAAAATGCGAATGATATTTTTGTCGATACCGATGAAAGTTTATATAGTGCTCACCAGCGTTCATTTTTGCTGGAAGAATTTCGCCACCGTTAGGTTATTTAGCGGGACGTATAGAACGGTCCCTGTGAATGACAAAAACACGACGTGAACCAATCGCTTTCCTATGCATAAGATTGGGCACTCCTGCGATGAAACGCCGCTATAGCGAACGCCACGCATGTGGATGCCCGTCTCGTTGAAACAACAATCGATTGCGTTACGAAAGAGGTTTTTTTCCAAAAGTCTCGAAATAGTTGGCTTTTATTGGCGATCGTGGCGGAGCATCGAAACTTGATGGCATTATTCGAATAAGATAATGGATCATTTGAGACCTAAAGAAAATTAACTCTTTTATTGTACATCGAATTTCCTTATTTCTTCGAGAAATCTGATTTTTTTATTTATTTCTACATGATGGTGTATTATATATTTTTATATACATGGATAGTTTGAATCAGTTCTTGAAAAATAAACATTCATAATTGAAGATATTGAAAGCAGATGGATTAATTTATTTATTGTTTTAATAAAAGTATTATAGATTTTATAATTTTCAAATTGGAAAACACAGGGAGATTAAATAAAGATAAAATATTTACAATATTAGAGATGATTACACTGCAAATCTAAGTATGTTATTTTTACACGCATAAACATCTAAAAATAACACATCAGATTGAAGCTCTTTTTACATAGTTCTTTATGTGTTAAATTACGTCATTTAACACGTTTAATCATATTAAATTAGAAGTTAATACGTTCAATCAATTAAATGACGTGATTTAAAATGGTAAGAAATGTGATGTAAAAGAGCTTCAGCTAAAATAACACACTTTGCACAACAGATTTGCAGTATAGTTAATACATTTTAAATAAATATTGATTCTTTTTATATAATGAACTTTTATTTAGAAAAAACGTAAGTTATTTTTACGTTTGCTCTCTGCAGATTTTCTTTAATAATAATCTTCATGTCAAAAAAGAAATCATTAGTTACGATTTTTAGATAAATCAGTGATTTTAGAGACGAATTGAATGCATAGCAATTATACTGCCCTCCGACAAAAATGGCAGTAATTGATAATTAAATCATTACGAGCGATTGCCATTAGTTTAATAGCCACTGTCACCTTCCAGATCGCAACGACCAGCTTCATTATTGGAAAATTTCACTCGCGTCGCGCGTAACAATAACCTATTTACGCTACAAATGCGTTACACGTGTAACGCATGCACCGTGATGAAATTCAAGCACGTGATACGCTTGATATCAGAGATTTAACCTTCTCATCCGTAACTCCGTTGCCTCCGCGTCGGTGGAAAGGCAAAGTAAACGCGCATCATGGGCATATCCGATGATCCAAATAAAGTCAAACTCTCCGATATCAGCGGTTTGGATTGTGCGAGATAAAGAGAAACCGTTTCAATAATCTCCATTTTGCATAAAAATCAACATTACTTTGTACGTATTTTGATTAATTTATACATATCTGCGACATGATTCGCAATTTCGCTAATTGCAGTAGCAGCTGCGAAACACAAAGGCTGAAGTGCAGCTTTTCTCATCGAAGATCCCGATGGGGCTGTATTTGCACCGAGAGACTAGATTTAGACTCAGAGATAACTATCTTGCCGCCTCATGCCTGAAAAAGAACAATCTCGTGCAGTCAACTCGTAATCCGTCCATTTGTTTCAGTAATAACCGTATCGATCCGCGCTGGACGCCGCTACGCGCATTTGTATTGAATGAGCATCTATAGCGTCGCATTAATGATATCTGGCTTGCGCTCCCTTCGCACATAACTTAATCCGATTTGTTGCTTTCCCCCGCTGATATTTGTGCTGATCTTGATTGATCTCTCAGAGAGTGACAGTTATCGACAATTATGTTTAATAAAGCGAGAAAGTGAAATAACAGGTATAGGCACACTCGGTTGCTCGATAAATTAATTTTGCATTAATTTTACGTTTTTAATTTTTTTCTGCATTATATTTAAAAAAATACAAATTAGTCCTCTGTTTTCTTCGATCGAACGGCAAGTGATCAAGAGCCTTAACTTACCGTTCCAATTAGCGTATACTAACAAGGATCTTGCAACAAATTAATGATTACATGACAGTAAGAGGCCACAAGCAATATGTTTGGCATTACAACGGCTTTGCACGAGACAGTGAGTTATCGGATACGGAGATATCTATTCGCTGTCAAGGCGTCAAGGTACGGGCGAGAAATGACGGTGCACTCGAGTGAGCGCGCGAGACACACGGATAGAGTTCTAAATTAAATAGATACAATTTTCATATTTTCCTCCATTGCAAAGTCACGCGAACTTGACATTACGCTTATACACGCGTGATAATCTCCGCAATCACGAACAGCATCTTCCGTCGACGCGTCTCCTTACTGCACAACCAGCGTAATCGACATGTAGATACGCGGCATTAATCTGAGCTATCAGTCTCGTACGCAGATTAACATCTCCAAGAGATTACGACGTATCTGATCTTGCCTGCGTGACCTTATCAATCTGTTGAAATGTACTGTCATTTTCCCTTATCTGCACGGTCTCTTCATGGTGGTCCAGTTCCGTTCCCTGTGGAATTTAATACCGGATGAAATGACGTGTTTATAATACTCTATATATATAAAATACATTTTTAATTAATATATCTTATTTATCTTGAATAAACAAAATAATAAAAATTATATTTTCATAGAATCACGCATTTCCCAAAAATTTGGTAATTTTATATGGGTAGATTATATAATTAGTAAATTAATTAATTAATTCTGTCGTCTTGCTTTGTGAGTTTTAAGAGTTAAGAATTTATAAGCATAACGTAGCAACCGCTATTCGGGTAACATGTGGACAAGGATATGTGTGACGGGAGCGTGAACCATGTCATTAACGTACTCCATTCTAGCGAAGGTTCAAAGAGAATACGGAGGCATGTAAAGACCCGTATGGCACTCACGGTTTTCACTCAAACTGCTATGCTTGATGAACAACCGCGACATTCAAGTTAAAATCATATTCCTTGGACGGTGCAGCGAGCACACTAGAGAAACGTCAATTATGCTAATAAGTCTTCCTGATTGTCGCGATCTTCGATGCGGCAATTTCGAGTGAGTCTGGCTCGAAAGATACCATAGCGTGTAAAATTGGATGACGAGTAGTGAGCATGCACACAGGTTATATGTGTAAAATTACATAATCTCGCGTATAAAATCTACATTGAAATCTCTATTCCTTTTAAAAACAGTCTTGCATAAAATATGTTCATGTAGCTGACAAACGTGCGAATACTCATCATTATTTCTGACTGATAAAACATGCTACGAAGTTTTTGTATTTATAAAATTTTCATAAAACTGGAAAGAACGAAAAGGAGATGTTTTTATAACTGTGTTTGTAATACTCATATCTTATTTATATTATTGCATGTTGATGATAGTAATAACAATCCAACCGGTTAGTCGAAACCGAGGGCAAGGATTATAAGCTCGGAAATGTTGCGAAATGTGAAACCCTGGGCTGCTCGCTCCGGGAAATTCAACGTTTCTATCTCAGCGCCGGTCCACGTCTATACACAGCTGTAGTCTCCGCTAAGAGAACTTAATAGAAATTGTCGAAGCGTTTGCGCAATACGATTATCCGCGTTAGAAACCAGCGAGATTGGCAACGAAATTGGCGACGAAATTGGCAACAAAATTGGCAGGGCCTGGGTCAGTAATACAATGGTCGACCGATCTCCTTATAGAACGACCAATCCCGTTCGCCGCGATTGTTCGACGAGAGGGCACGAAATTTCGGCTCGCTCCTTTCACCCTCGTCACGCCACATCGTTTTCCCTACCGCGGTGAATTTTGCGCTTCCTATAACGCTTTTCGACGGCCCCGGATCGCCACCGCCGTCGCGTCGGTCCGTCGCGCGTTGCTGACTCGAGAGGTCGAGGGCGCGCGGGAACGTGATTGGATAAAAACATGTTGCGGCGTGCTGATGAGAGAGATCAGATCGGTCAACTCGTTGCATTCGGTCAGCAGAAACCGAGCAAGCGGCCCTCGGCTCGTTTTGATGAAACGAGATCACGAGATCATTGCGAGAAAACCAGGAATGAATTTCAAAGGAGGGTCCACTTCAGAAATTAACAAGTGGGAGGTTCTGCCATTTTTATATTGATACATCTTGATGTAGAAATTACGTCATAGTATCCTGATAGTCTCATATTTTTCTAATAAATTTGAACTTTGTTTTTTTTTACTGAAAAATTTTGATAACTTATACAGCACTTATTATTAAAAAGTATAAAGGATTGAAATTAAGTTTAAACGAATATTTACGTGTAATAATTAATTAATTATACAGATCATTAAAATAATGTGATAACATCTTTTATTGATACATACAATACGTTTCTATTTGCTATAAGAGGTAAGATATTTAACGATTATATATTTTAACAACACATATAATTCACAAAACGTAAAAACAAGTATTTAACAATAATATATATTGGCTACGATCGAGTTTGTACAGAATGCAGGCTCGCTTACAACGTTATCCTCGTTAGTCACTCTTGGCTTTTTCATTAATCATTTTATTGATAATTATTCATTATGATATCTTGCAACTATCGATGTTTATGACTACCATATGTGCTACCTGAATGATCATTCCCGCCGTAGTTATGAACTTCGGCATAAAACCCGCCGTGAGGATCAGCATGATATTTTACACTCCTGACATTACCACCAGGCTCATGGATGTGATATTCGCCTTCTACATGTTTGCCTATGGTTTACATCATAAACAAGATAATTAATATTTACATATTTGATTAGAATTAATGATGTCTAACGAGACCAGGTCCTATCATCTATTTATGATTACTTGTTTTTATAGAGAATTATAAAAGCATAATATTGTAGACATATTTGAATATTTTAAGGTGTATGAAATCACATAGGAAGAAAAATTAACAAAATTCTTTTAAATTAAAGATGTTTAAATAATTTGTTCGCGGTAGCAAAAAAAAACGAAAATATATCCTCCATAATTTATTATGCTTTTTGTGATGTTTATCGGAGCAATACAGTGTTATTTATACGGAGTGGAAGTAAGAATAGTATTTAGACTGAATGAAGATATAATAGAAACGCGTGTATCTCTCCATACGTTCCAATTAAATTCGCGTTTACGCAGGCTGTTACACGTTTCCGAGATACGCCGTATCGGAACAGCTTCGCCGTAAACTCCGTGCATTTCATTCGCCGGCTTTGCGAGAGAGCTCTTCCCAACGAATGCGTAATAAACTCCTATGCTCTCTTCCTCTCCCTCTCTCTCTCTCTCTCTCTCACTCACTCTCTTTCTCGTATCAGTCACAATTAAATTTAACAGGCGCACGCCGAATATGAAGCGCGAAGAAATTCTCGCATTTTTACGAAAAGCGCGCCAGAAGAGTAACGAATGTATCCACAACGGGCCGCGCAATACATCGGGGTAAGAAACGAACTCGGTCCTTCCTAGGTTCTAATTAAGAGCAGGGCCAGATATCCAATTACTTCGAGATTCTAATTAAGAGCGCGAGATCGAATTGCATTTCACTACCTCTCTGGCTCCGGATCAGTATTGTGCGATACATCTAGGGTTGCTATATCGATACTTTGACAATAAGAGAAATTGATGCTGCACGGACGTGATATTAAATAGAATATCGATTTTCAAATTAACATTCTTAGTGTATAGCAATCTTTGGTAAGTTTAAATACAGAAATATTCAGGAAACACCTTCAATATCAATATTAGAAATATTAGAAGAATGTACGAAGATATCAGCTTTATACGTGGTCAATAATTATTCATAATTATTAACAGCAACAGTAAAAAAAATTATTATTTTACAGTTTTTATTTAAAAAGGAGCTGAGTTATTCTCTCATGCAACGTACCGGGATGACGCGCGATAACGATATTAACGTAATATAAAAATTACAGATTTTAAAGCCTTAGATAGAGAATATCGAGAGTACTCTTACTCACCGTCACGGTGTTCCTTCTGTCCGTGATGGTCTTCAGTATGATGATCGTCCACACCATAGGCATATTTGTACTTAGGATGAGCTTTGTAGTCGTGATGATGGTGCCCATGCTTATCTTTCCAAGATATCTCTTCGTGATGGCCTATCACTGGTCCGAGAAAATGATGATACGAGTACGCGTGATCATGACCGCCATGTCCGTTGCGATCTATATCTGCGGTCCGTTTCTCGTCGTGATCATGACTGCCGTGTTCGTTGCGATCTATGTCTGCGGTCCGTTCCTTGTCGTCCTTGTCTTCCTCTACAATTGATTTTATATAAAACTATTATATTCTCGATTTTCTTAAATAAATGCATAATGCAAATATCTCATTGCAATTTTAGCAAAATTTAAGTCTATAATGTAAAGTTTTTAACAAGTGAGAGTACTAAGATGAATTCGTGCGGATCGACACCTTTTACCGATACGCGTAATTACCTTCTCGAGTGACCGATTCCTTGAATTAAACGAGAGACACTCACCCACCGCATTTTCCTCGTACATCCCGGGGAAGCTCTTAACAACGACAGCGACGAAGACGACGCAGACAATCAATTCCTGCAAAGCGAGGAGGGACATTCGAGCGTCGTGTAAGCGGCCGACAACGCCGCCCGTGAAGTACTGTTCGCTGTTAAAGGTAAATTGGTGGCCGCGAATAATTGGAAAAGTTAATCTCTTAAATCTAATCGAGGAAGAGAGAAAGAAAGAGAAGGACAGAGGAAGCGAGAGAGCGAAAGAGAGAGAGGAAGGAACAGCGCGCAGGAAGCAAAATTCATTTTCATCGCACCGACGCGACGCTGTGGTGTGTGGTGGCGTGTAGTAGAAAATTACCGAAAAAAGTCTCGCCATTATTCTTCCGTTCCGAATATGTGCGCCAGAACGGACTCGCCGAGACGCTTTTACCGCCCACATAAAGACCTCCGAAACACTCCGCGCTCGCTACTTTACGGTCACGACTGCGTGATACTTTGTTCAGCGCGGCCTGGGCTATACGGCGATTCGTTTTATGGAAGCTACGGCAATCCGCCCTACGGGTCGATGAGATCGGCGAAACTTGAAATTGGATCGATCGTCCCGAGTTTGAGGTCGGGACCGCGCGCGTCTTCGCCCGCGGCCAGGTAAAAGTGCTGAGCCCCTCCGTGTTATTCTTCACGTTATACGTTGTAGTTCTTTGCCCGGACGGATCATGAAAGGTTAATATCCGTCCACTTCCCACAAATTGGATATCAAAGAGAGAGAAAAGCGAAGGGGGGGAGGGGGGGGCTTTAGACTCTTTCGCGATAAAATGCGCCGTTCAGGAAATTTCTAGCTGCATTTGAAGTAAATAGTTTTATTAAAATCTTTTGGAGTGGAATATCTTCTTTTTCGAGTTTTTTTTATCTTTATAATATTGCTTTAAATTGTGATATATTTGTTTCCAATTGACCGTATCTCTCACTTTTAACCTGATACGATTAATACTTTTTCCAATACTCAACTCGTAAAATAAAAGGAAAAGAAACATTATATGCTATGCGTAAGCTAGAGCAAAAGATCAATAGGTCTTTGTTACAAGACTTTACAGCGTTTTATAAAGATGGATAGTATTATGCAGCCTTTTCTCACTAAAACAACTATTGTGCAACGATACCTTTTTAAAATCCTGTTAGACGGTATATTTTGACCTCAAAAGAAATTGTTACGTGCCATGCAAAGGCAAGGACACTGGAAACTTTAATTAAGAATATCCTGTTTTCCTAATTGCGGCAAAGTATTTTGTAGCTTGATGTAGCTTTAAGACACTTTTAAAAAACATGAAAAAGAGCTACTTAATTATTTAGAGTTAATAATTGCTCGATTAACATTAACGTTATTATACTGCATACAATTTCAATTAATGCTAATAATTACCACTTGCAAAATTTTAATGTAATTACCATTTAAAAGTTTGAATTTATAATGTAATTATGATTTTAATACACTATAACGTTCGTAGTATAACGGCAAAATATTGTATTTCCGTTTTAATCATTATATAATCGTTATAACGTTGCGAATTACAGGTACGTATGTGTGAACTAAAAATTACTCAGCGCCCGGCAACTCGCTAGCATTGCAACGCTTTCCACGCTAATACTTTCCGGGATGCGCAATTATTCCGACGTCAGCGGCGTAACGCGCTCACAAAAGATGCAACACCTTCCACAATTTTGTTCGCAAGAATACGTAATTATAACCGACGTGTGCATGCCTTCGTCCGACCTATTACAACGCGAATTTCCGTTCCACCAAAGCGCCCCAGTAATGTTCTGCGCTACACTGCCTACGGCCCGCGGCGTATCAACTTACGATATCGAATACCACGCTATCGACTTTAGTTTACCTTTACAAAGGCCATGTTTCTTCCTTTACAAAAATCGCCAATGGACTACCTCCAAGACGAAAGCAACGAGATCGTTTTATAGCAACGGCCACCCTCGGAGCAAGCAAAAACGGGGTCCCTTTTAACCATTAATTCGTTTGTCATACCCCCGCGGTTGGTCCCCGATACCGCACAGTAAGAAGTGTGACCAGCCGGGTCGTAGAAATGATAATAATTCTTTGAAACAACGACCACCGTACGACCCTGCTTTTCGTCACCGCCAGACACGAATTGGCGTCGCAATTTTACGACCGGGAAAGCAATGGCTCGGAAATAATAAATGTACAAATGTAATATGTACTAATTTTTACGTTCTGTTTCTGCTTGATTCATCACCCTTCTAATATGAACACTAAAAAATAAATAGGAGATTTAGATATAAATTTAATGCCACGCACTTTTTAGAATTTTCATTCATGAAACATGAAAGAAGCAGATATGTTTATTCAAAAGAAGCCGGTTCTATTAAAGTTATATGATCTTTAATGATTGAATCTTCAATTGTTATAATGTCGTTTGAATAGGACATAGGACATCAGTACATAATGAGAATTTATTTTCTATCTCTCTTCTTCTCTCTTTCCCTTTGCGTCTGGTGTGCATGTGATGGAATTGTAAACAATGAGATTGTATGTCAAATACCTCCTCTAACGTAATAATTAATAACAATATCTTTTGTCAAAGCGATGAATTTCAAGCATGATTATTCACGAGCTTGTCGATAATTTCTGATTGAAGTGGCTATAATTATGTTTTTCTCTTGCGAATTTGAGGAATAACATCATCCATGACAAAGGGTTTTGAAATGAAAGTAATAATATGAAAGACATGATATTTAGACAGCTATTAAATTTTTTAAGTATTACTGCTAAATGCAAATTAATTAAAATAGAAATGTTTATTTAATTAATGTAACCATAAAATATGTGCACATTAATATTAATTAAAATTTGAGAAAAAATTCTAGAATTTTAAAGGAATTGTATTAAACTTATATTACAATCGCACTTTTTTTTAATTATGTCTATTCTATTAAAGTAATGCATCCAATTTTTAATTAAATATTAGAGAAGAAGATATTCATATCTCCATCGTACATAATTGTGTGCATGCCAGTTACATTTGCTTTAAAAATATACGTATTTATTTTATTTCGGATATAAGTTTTAATCGTAATAATGTTCACGTACACTTTTTGGTATTTTCCGAAATATGCGGCCAGTGGCCTCAATATCTTGTGAAATTATTCGTCACGTGCCAATTGCCGAAATAGTCAATCAACATTTTTCATCCGCGTTGCCGTAAAGATAATGCAATCGCGGCCGCAGCGGACCGGAGATTTTTGCTCGCTCTCTCACTAGGAACACGGAGAAAGCGCGCGCGGATTTTTCGATTACCCGGCTCGTTCTTGCGCCGTGCAATTTTCCTGCGGCATCATTCCGCCCGACCTCGTGGCAAAACTGAGAGGCCAGTAGTCAGATCAGTTAACTCCCAGCGCGATAGTCGCGACAGCAGGAATAACAAGCAATATTACTTACATCCGATGCATATGCATTACGCGCCGCGCGTTAATCTTACTTCGAGATTTTATTATTCGCATTGCGCACTAAGCAACGTACAAATTAATTATTCACGATGAAGCCCGTTACCCAGGAAGCTCGTGATGGGAACTACCGTCACTCGCGCGCGAAAGATAATATGCAATTTGCATTATACTACCAGATGTGTATCGCGAACGGAATAATCACAACCGTGGAGCAGATTATAGAATTGGATGGCAGAATTAAACCTACAAAATATTATGTGGGATGTATTGTGTATAGTGTTTAATGAGAGAGAAGATATTTAAATTTAATGGATTGACATTTTCCGTGCTATAATGCTCAATTAGTTCCGAAATGTTTTCACATAAGGCATATACTCTTGTGCGTAATCAAAAAAATTTAATTGTTTGGAAAAAATTTTTAAATATATAAATGTTCAGGTATTTTCCGCGAAAACTATACGTATCGTTACGCTCGGATTTTGTTGGTACTTTATTTAGAAGTTACAGGCAATTGCCATTTAACGAAGTGAACCTAATTACAAGTTAAGCAACAGCTCTCACGTTTACCGGCTACACAATTTTCTTGTTGAAAGTGGTGGATTTTACGCTAAAAACATACGCTCTTATGCTAAACTAGTTATTTGTATATTAAAAATAAGACAAACGTGATTTACACATTTTGAATGTTTTGACTATTAATGAGACAACAAGTTGAAAATTGAGATACCGCCACAAGAGCCTATTTTATTTCCATATTATTTTATACATTACTTTAACGAACAATACATACAACACTATTATCGATGTTACACGTAATCGTAATAGGATATATTGCAAATTACTTTTTATTTTAACTTAATTCAATTACATTTGTATCTGTTAAAATCTTTTTAAAGAAAAATCTATTATTTTTATCTAAAATATATAGATCATCTAAAATAGATTTATTGACAAAAGCTTCACATTTTAATCATGCTTTATAAATTTCAAATAGCTTTCGTGAAAGGTTGACCTATATACAAATTATATAGAATATTCTATCGAGAACAAGACGACAGAATAACTTTTGTAGATTTGAAGAAAAATTAAACACTATTTTTATAATTTTAATTGTGATGTAGAGACATGTAAGAGAAAATATATTAATCTTTATTATTAAAACTTTATTTAAAAGCAAACTCATTGAAAACTCCGTTTGAAAAAAACTCAAAAAATAATAATCGTAAAGGACAAAGGATTATTCATCATGTTCTCGCTTTTCTCAAACTATGCAAATTACATATTTAAAATTCTTGTTGTATATTTTCAAATGTACGAAAGTTATTCAGGTATTTCATGTATTATAGATCTGATATTTACACATACGCAAATGTAGAAAATTCTTTTAACTTCGCATACACGTCCATCGGAACCTTTCAAGTGAAACATATTTTTCGTTTCAACCTCTTGAAATATACATTTCATGAAGTCACAACACAACCAAATATTTAAATATCGCAATCGAAGATAAATCTACCGGATTCCAATGTCCAATTTTAAAATATATTAATCCCTGTAATAGTTATTTTGGAGACAATTATTTTTACAACGTAAAACTACATTAGAATAATTTTATTTTCGAAGGAAAAAGAGATGAAAATACACTTATTAAGAGTAAGAGTTATCACGAATTTAATCTAGCGGCGATGAAAATTATCGGCTGTTTTATTAAATATCTCCTCGAATTGATACTGGAATTTGACAGCAAACACGATAGGTACAAAAATGAATGGACAATAAAGGTGAGAACTCATTATTGATGCCGCTCGAGACAAGCGCATGAAAAAATGACATCATTCACACGCAGGAAGTGTCGCCTACCGCGAAATCGAGAAAGAAATCCCGCATGCAATGCTTTAGGGCACGCGGGAATGACACGTCAACGCAAATGACACCGCGTGTACCATTATATTCCACGTCCCATTGTTCCCGTATACGTACCTACCGCGCGCGTATCGCATCAACTCGAAGAGTCTCACGATATTATTACGTCTCGCGATCTTTCGGTCCGTTTACGCGACGTGGACGGAATTATCGACAGAAGAGCCTCGGCTTGACGGACATATCGTAAACGCTTAGAGGACACGACGTCGTAATCGCAGGAATCAGAGCGTTCTGTATGGAATGAATCGATAGCGGAGCGGTCCACGTCCCTTCCGAGGCTGTTACACCAGACTCCACGTCGACCCTGCAAATAATTAAGCACTGTTCAATTAAGTCCATCATAAGCCGCCATGCATTGGCACAGAGGAAAGTTACGGATAAATTTTAAAGACTCTAAAATATTGACGCTCTTTCTCTCTCTTTCTCTCTGTTTCTTTCTCCCTAATATGCAGTGACCTAATTTAATCATTTAAATAATTAAATTTAATTCCATGGATAAAATTACATTTTTCTTTGCTCATCAAAATTAGATTAGTAACAGAAAACGATATCTTTTGTCATTCTTCTCATCATCACGCTTCTAAAAGTAAGTGATCGAAAAGCAATGATTCTGAAATACGGAATAATGGCTCAATTTCTAAAATTGGAATTTTGATATCGTTAACGAGAGAATTGTGTACGTGAGAGAGAAAGAAGAGAGGGGAGAGCATATTCTCGGCGAAAGAGAGCGAAACTGTGAAGCAGCTTGCAAAACTTTCGGGCGCGATGCCTGCAGCCGACTTAACATCTTTGTTAGCCCGCGGAAACAAGACATCGTAAACTGATAGTTGGGTAGCGTCTTACGTCTTGAGAACGGGCGATGCATAAAGAACGAAGGGATTTACGGGCGGCGGTTTGAGAAGTACGACGTCGACGCCCGATGAATGTAATTCGCTTTTTAACGCCTCCGCGGCACCTTCCACGGCTCTTCGGGACGCGCTGAACGCCACCAGCCCGGAGCCCGCTTTGCCACCGTAGCTCGTCTCGGAATCGCCCAAAAGAACGATGCGGCCTTAGGAATAGAAACATTTTCAATAAGCCGCTTAAAGAATGAAGATGGTTTTGCTATCGGTGAATAGTCTCCTTGCTACGTCGAGTGCTCTACTTCGATGCTATTGTGCATTGCCGCAGCTTTCAAAGGAGCAATTCACTTCTCCTCGAGAGAAGCGAGCAAATTTCTCATTAACTTACAATTAGACTGACGGAGAAATCTCTGCTCGATTATTTTCGTAGTGAAAGACTTTTCATTTTTATATTGATTGAAGCTGTAATGTTTTTGCCGCCCAAAAAGCAATTACCCTCTTTAAAACGAGATAAAAATAAATGTTAGTCTTTTATATAGCGGCAGACAATATTTACCTTAATCTTAGGATTTCGACAAGTATTCTACAAACCTCTCTTGATGCGCAAAAGTGGGATGAATACTCTGGCTGTTCTCAGTGGAGCAACCAAGTTATGACGCAACATGGACTCCCACATTGAGCTGGTTTGTTTTTCTATAACACCTGGTAAAACCAAGCCGCCCGTGTGCACGACTGCCCAGAGACCTGCAAATAAATAAAGTTCAACGCTTTAACGTACTCGAAGCGATCGTCTTCGCGGGTCGTTGCGCGGAAACGAGACAGATGGAAATTTATTTCGTCGAACTTCGCTCACGTTGATGAGAACGTCGTTATATATATTATATATAACGAGCGGAAGGCAATCGCGAGAAAATACCGCCCAAGATGGCTGCAATTGCGGTCCCCGGTGATATCGAGCATTTGAAATTGCATTTCTCCAATCGGAAGTATGACTTATAAAATGAAAGTGCGCCTTTCCGTTCGCTAGCCGCGCTAACTAAACAAATATATTCGGCGCTTCCATCTCATTTTTCGCGACGAAAAATATTTGTCTGACAGTTCGCGAGGTATAACGAATAGCAAAAATCTGCGAATATGACGTATGCGCTTATTTATTCTACGCGATGAAAGTATGTTATTTCCTCGTGTTTTCCCATTATGCAAACTTCCATTATGTGCGCAAGATATATTGCACGACAAATCTATGCGAATGCAAATACGCGTCTCGTAAAAATCTTATTGGAATCATGAAAAGAAAGTTGAAAGTGCATTAAAGTTTTGAATGATGTATTCGAGTATTTTACTTTTCTGTCTTTTTAAGCACTTTCCGCAAAAATCCTGGTATTTAATTCATGTATCTTCCCCGATCTCGTACACGTAATAGTTCTATTATACCAACATCTGGGTATCCATCCCCGATAAAGTCCCGGGGCACTTTATTGAACCTAACAAGCTGGTTGAATTATTATAGAAAACGGGCATGGATTCTATATCTAAAACATTATTCGTTCAATATCAAATTTTATTAAATTATTACGAGATGAATTACTTTGAGTTCACTGGTGCTTCTCGCGGTGATAACTAATAATATAACTAACGAAACCGTATATAAAAGTGAAATTGAATAAGTAGAAACTTTCAACTTATTTGTAGTTGAATTAAATATTCGAGAACATGCAATAACTGACGCTCGTTACAATTTGTATGAAAAATTATTTTATTTTTCTTGTGTTTGCTCAGTTATCACAATTAGTGCAGTTAATTAAAATTAAATGTGCGTCATGCAACACTGAAGTGAAATAGTAATTATGAGAAGTTTTTAAATGTTTTTAAATTAAAAGAAATACAGATTCAATGTTTTTTAGCGCAATTATGTGACCGATAAAATACATATTCAATTTATATATGGAAATAATGTTGGATTTTCTGATTAGTTATTTTTCGCATTATAATTTGCGATAAATTATAAAGCCAAAAAAGTGACTGTTTTTTTAAATAGCTACATATATATTAGGGTATTAGTAAAATAATATAAATTAGTAATGTGCATTATTAAATTGATGGAATTTCCCGCATTTGTATGTAAATACATTTCCTTTTGCGCAATCAGCAAATTGCAAACAGGGCGAAAAACCTTATAAAAACGAATAAGTTATTTCTTGTTTCAATGCATTGTTCATCTATATCAAGCGAAACTCTATTGAATTTTGCAACTAAGCGTTTTAGATGAAAGAGTAGAAGTTAATATTGAACAATGACTTTAATACTGACGCCAGAATGGCTTTAGCAGGTTAGTGCCGTAACGTCTCAAGGAAGTAATTATAAATTAAATCAAAATACAAAAAGACAGGGAAAGTGTAGCCGTTAAAAGCGTTATTTACGTGCACACTTTATGTACACACTTTATATGTACATACTTTCTACATAAGTTACGTGTGAAGATATCATTTACGTAATATATACGTGGTACAACATTGACCAACTACTTTTTTGCACGAAGATGTAATTAAAGCTTTTTTGAATTAGTAATACTGAAAAGACTTTTGCCTATTCGAAAATTCTCTTCTTATCTACCGCATTTAATGTACTGTAAACACGAATATATTGCCCAGTTTCTTCAGTACCGATAATAATTCATTCCGAGAAATGAAACGCAAATTAAAAATTCGCATACTGGTCTTGAAAGACTTGAATATTATACGACAGCTTCCATTTCCTCTGATCATACATTTTTTATAATGTTACTAAAACGAAAGTATGAAATCCATGCAAAAGGTTATTTCTGTCTCTTTCTCTTTTTCTTACTTTCTATATATATTAAATTGTATTTTTGTAAATAGTTACTAATTTGAGAAAGCTAATTATTTTTATTAATATCTCAATCTTGCGCACCGACGTCCATTTAATTTTCAGTTAAATTTTCTCTCAGGTTAGTTACTTCTAACTTTCTATTTACTTTACATTCGGTATTGCGGTCATCTCTCGGCCGGCTCGATTCAACGGTTAACCAAAGAAACCGGGCTAAATGAATAAAACATCTTGCCATCCTCGCCGGCCGGAAGTTTAGCCCGGACAGCGTCCAAACAAGCACGCAAACTGTCCTCCCTTGTCGGGTCCAATTCCAATGGCACAATTTGACCGCGGGCACGTGCGGCTTCCGGTTGCTGCGGACCACCATCGCTCGTACCATCGGGCTCGTCCTCTTTCTGCCGCTCCAGCTCGATCGCCTTCAAGATTTTGACCGACGGCGCGCCACCCGTTGGGTCCAGCAAACCCGCGAACACCTGTCGCGGAGGGAACATGACACGTTATACATTATGTTTTGAAAGACCACCGCTGCCGCAACCCCACATTCCACGTGTCACTCCGTTACACACCATATTGGCACCGCTTAATACCACGCGATACGCTTTGACGTTGATAGGTCATGTTAAATGACACATAGGCTCAATTGTGACTAATGAACCTCAAATAAGAGACAAAAAACTTGAAATTCTTCCTTCAGGCGCTACCTCTAATTACAGAAGAGATTTTGTAAGGGTTGGTTAAAATTTCAATTGTTAAATACCATTTTAATCGATTAAATTCAATCGTATTCTATTATATGTGAACGTAAATGTCATTTTTAGCTCTTGAATTATTATTTTGTTAGCAATATTAATATCGAAATCAGTCCTTAAAATTAATTTTCTTATTTTGTATATCTCCAAAAAACTTTGGCTTTTAATTAATCTTGTGTTTTAAGTTCTAAATTTTAAAATACCTTTCCATATAATCAGTATAATTTTGCTTTGAATTATTAAATGCTAAGGTCAATTAAAGCGGTTGAAGGTATTCATGTAAATCGATTGCGGTCCTTTGATGCATGCAGCTCTTGATGTACGAAAGGTAATAGGTAATCCAAAGCTTGAATATCAGAACGCACGGTACAATCGAACCGCAATTGGAATCCAAAGTACGCAAATGACCTATATCAATTTTGCCTTTGTACTACATGAAAATTCCGTTTAGTTCAATTAAAGTAGGGACATGCGAGTGACGTAAACTGATTGACTGCGAATTGCTAATTAACGAAACCGAACGAGATTTCGACGTTAAATACCAACCTAAATGTTAAAAGTTGAAAGGCGCAGCCATTAAGCGACAAAACTAACTTCAATGAATTTTAGAGAACCGATTACGTTAAATTATTGTATTAAACGACTTTTTCGAGTATATATTACGCACGGATCACGAGAGGGATGAAATTATTGCCCTGTTGGTTAAGAGGATCTTCTGAGAAGTAATAAATATAATATTGCTATTCGATTCGAACCCCTTTGGCGAAGACGTTCTCGCAAGATTAGCGTCCGAAGGACGCTTCTCCTGCAATCTGCAAGTTATTACCCAGATAAAATTTGACTTCGCCGAGTATTTATCTTTTTCGGTGGTAATCTTTGGCGGGGGCGACTCTTGAGTGGTGACACGATATACTCAACGGGACCGGCGGATACGTGAATACCTGTCGAGGAACTGTCGGCAGAACTGATTTAAGGGCTCACCGATGTTCCGCTCCCTTGACATGAGGAAACTAATTTGGAGCCCGGGCTCCGACAATCTGAAATATGTTGCACGCTCGAAGGGATAATGGGGGATTCTGACGTAAGGCCGCGGGGATATTGCGTTTCAACGGTTGTCGTCGCGTTGCACGGCACACCGGCTCAACTTTAGTCGTTTAGATTCGCGAAACCGCGGAAAGAGTGGACGTGCAAAGGATCCGACGTCTATCCGGTTTAAGCCGGCGTGCCCGAAACTAGCTGACAGCCACTCTCGCGAAGCTACTCCATCTCGCGTGTATAATAAAAGAAAAAGTAAAGATGACAAATATGAATGTTCTTCTCGGAATACAGCACGGCTTCCCGCTACAAATTCGAGATTTATGCAATTACAGAGCTGACTAGGAGACAGTCCGAATAATCGCTTTGACCCAATTCCGGCGCATAATCATGGATCGCAAGAAAGGGAGAAACGAGTCATATTTGATACGCCGCGGCCGTGCGGTAACGCAAGACTTTGTCGGCGTTTGTTTATGCGCGTTTCCGATAATCATCGGCTTGCAAAAAGTTCAGCGCAGTTCCCACGTAATAAATCCGGCGAGCCGTTACTTCGCGTAGCCGGCGCAGCCTTCGGGGCATTCGCATAAGCGCGGTTCTCAATTTTGAATATTCACCGAGCCGCGGAGGGAATATCGGCGACTGGCAGCGTAACGGAGGCGAATGTACGGTGAAGTTTATGCCGCCGTTAATTTATGGCGGTACACGCGGCCGTTATTACCTTGTAGCCGGCTTCGTAGAGTGCAAGGGCGATCTGCAAGCCTACGCATGTATCACAGCTGGTAACGAGTACATGACGTCTGTTACGCGACTCGTATTCGTCGGCTGCATTCCTGGACTGTCGCATCAAGTAAGCCAGTAGGGCTGCGACTATCGAACACAGAGCCAATATCTGCAGGGCCAGAATGGCCCCGGTTTCGACATCCATTGTGACAGATTGGCGCGACGGAACTCTGCAAAAATGAAAGAGATAGTCGTTAATATCGTAGAATAACGAATTTATTTTTTATCTAGTCTCAGAACATCAACAAGAAATGTTTAGTGAGCAGGCTATTGCACTTAACATTTTTCTTTAATAAGTCTAAAAATCGCGAAGACGATTATTGTATGTATTTTTAATGGTATTATATATATTTCATAAATTCAATTTTATCGAAATTTAATAACTTAAATTATCAAAATATGATATTTTAACAATTTGAATTACCAGGATACGATTATGGTTACCCAGAGAATTAATAAATGTTCTCTAATAAGTTGAAAATTTTTCATTTACGTTTATAAAATAAAAGATAGGAAAATATTATTATATATAATTTTAAACATCAAACTGAAATAAAATTAAAATAAAAAAATCAGTACTTCCAGTTATTTTTTGTTAAAAATGACGGTCTGAATTTCAGAATTGTTGCATCTAAAATCCGTTAGAAATTCCGCAAGAGTTTAAATATAGAAACGCTCGAAACAACTCATGAAAAATTGAGTTTTTGTTTTAACAAGTAAAGGCTCTCTCGGCAGACAGAAGAGTCGAGGAGAGTCCGAGAAGTGCAGCCGAAGGAATTGGTTCCTTCGGTGAAAAGTGAACGGCGGGGCGGGGTTCGGTTTTGCTGGGGAGAATCACTTGCCTTTCTAAACCGTATCTAGGCTCGACCGTACGTACAAGTCGACTGCCGATTTTCCGCGATCGTCGCGGAATCGCATACCACAGGGATCGAGGGACGGGGAGAACTCCTTCGCAGCCGCGTTAGACGTACGCGACAGAATTTCGACGATCGCTGAAAATCGCGCGAGCGCGTTTCGTTCTCCTCGCTCGGCTGACTTGATAGCGGCGGAACCGTGTACCGCTAATGTGCCGAATCGATTAAACCCACCCAGACTCGTATTTCACCAGTCGTACGGAGGGACATTTCTCCGACGGTGCGAAATGTTTCTTCGCGAGGCGTATATACGCTTTCTCGCCGGTCGATATCTATACGGCGCAATGGCACATCGAGCATCGCGGTGACTCGCACCGTGAATCGAAGGATTAATGCGGGCGAATAATATAACGTCGGTGAAACGTGCGCATCGATCGTGTAACTCGAGAGACGCCTGCGATGCGTAGTCCGTGTACGAATTTCTCTCTCGGAGAGCGAGATATTTCCTTTCTCTTTCTCTTCTCCTTCTCCTCTCCCTCTCTCGCGGTATGTAAATGTCAGCTCGTACACGCGGAATGGTAGATGCATTCCTCGAAGAGCATTGTCCGATGCATATCAGACATAAATATATGTATACGCTAAAAGAGATACGCCGCGCCGCGCCGGGACGTGAAACCGATGTTTGCCTCGCATATTGCACGGTAGCATCCTCAAGGAGCTTTCTCGCAAGCGTTTCCGCATTTCTGATATTTCCAAAGTCCCCTCCGGCGAAATGAAACGAAACGTTGTTATTTATGTTTCATTTGTTCGCGTTTTAACGTTGTTTGACGAAAGGTAACGCGAGGAAAGCAGAGGATATTTTATGATGTTTCTATACAAGTCCTTTGCTCACGAGGCAACATTTTCATTGATAACGAGTGCTTTGAATTAACGTATGCATCGTTTGTAAAAGAATATCTTTTATGATGACTGGGGGAAACTCGTGCCCCTCGCAGAAATTGAAGATTACGTATAACGCAGGTGTCTTTATGCTGTCATTCTCAAATGTCATCCGCACAAACAGGATAACGGAGATTCGCGAAGAACGAATGCGCACAATAGAAAGCGTCGTAACTTTACATTACAAGAACGTCAGCTTGGCACTTGGAAGACGTGCGCGCGCGCAAGAACCATCCGGTTTCTTGCGATACTTTCTTCCGATCGCGCGAGTCGACCGACGCGCGCAATTTTCTCTGTATCCGTCACGCGTCGAGAGCCCCGACGCGATTCGTAACTCGGTGAAAAATAGTCGGAAGTGACAGCACACTCGCCGCGCGGCCACGTGAATCAGTGCCGCTCCGCTGTCTCTCGATAACGGATCTCGATCGCGGGGCGAGATTTTCATCGGTCATAACGAATCACCTGGCGAAGGACTGCGCGTGATGAATTAGCGCTTGTCACACGGTGGGCGACGAACGGAGAGCGGCAACGCTAAAATTAATACGTTTTAGCAGCGGACACGCGGAATCTGTGACATTTACGATCGCACGAACACACGTGCATCTGCGGCCACGTGCACGTTTAATCAATGTGTACGTCTGCAATATGTATACCTACGTGTTACACGGCACATTTCTCTCTCCCTCTTGGGTCTTGGTTATCACGGTCAACTTTCTCTGTATTCAAGCGACAGATAAGCGACGATAAAGAACGTCGCACTTGCGACGGTAAATCGGGCTTATTATCTTTCATCGAAAATATGTGTATGACTAACTCTGACTCAACTTCGCTGTTTCATGACTCTAGTTCTTGCATTTATGACTCGCACGCGAGATGCTTTATTTGTTGATGATTATCACAATCGTCAAGAATTTATTACTTCGCTATTTAATAGAAACTTTATATCTTTTTGTATCTCGTTATATCAGTTTTGGAAAAAAGAAGAACACAGTTATGTTATGAATATATGTTTGCGGGTTAGTTTTTTCAAGGCTGAATTAGAAAAGAGTATTATAGATAAGTGTTAAGTAATAGCCTTGTATCCATTCGCGTGAGACATTCTCACGTAATTATTTCGTTAATCATTTCTCGTCTTGGAACTGGATATATGGCATGTCTGAATATAGGTGTGACATTTGTCCCTCTATTCCCTAGACGGGAATTACGTTGATTATTCTAATTGCAAGGTACAGGAGTAATTCAATAAGGAGCCGTTATGGCATAATGGTCATCAAATTAAACTTTATATTAAGGAGAACACATACATTTCTCGAATATACATAAGAAGATAAGCATTTTGTCTAACAGTATTAACGAATAATTACATTTTGCGTATTGACCTTTGAATATTAACATAATACAAAATTACATAGATATTCGCATTTTTAATTTAGTAGCGCAATATGTGCGTGATATTTCTTCTAGAATAAATTTCACAGTAATCAGTATCTTGCCGTATTAAATGTGAAGAACTTTTCTATCGTTTTAACTTATATAATTCAAACTTCTTCATCCAGAAACAGCAATTTTTTATCGTGTCTTAATTGCAATACTTTTCTAACTCTTCTTCATAAGGATATCAGAAAGAAGAGAAAAAAATATATCGTTATTCACTTGGAAAAAAAATTAATGAATAATGTTTAAATGTTTAAATAAAAAAAAATATCATAAAACTTTCGTATTACTTATTTAGCTTTCGCATTCGCAGAATTTACATTCCTGTCGAGGCTATTGCCTGCGCCGAATGAAACAACTGTACCTATGTTTAATTATATAAAATAATCGATAATTGTTTGAATTTAACAATGAAATACTTTTTGCGAAATTGGCCTTTATTCTCTCGAAAATGCAGACAAGGAAATAATATTTTGATAGTAATAGATAGTAAATTGACGACAAGACGATATTAGCTTATTGTTATTTTATTGCTGTTTATCTCGAAATTTGGATTTGCAATTATAGACGCGAAAGGAGGATATTGACTTGTGCCACGCGGATAGAGGCAACTGCATATTGCAACGCCATGCTAATAAGCGGCTATGTCATCTCAATTAATCGCCCAACGCCTTGCCCGCCGTGGAGACGTGTGCCGGTTGGAATGTTGGAAGTTACAACGGGTATACGCGAGGTGGGATGGGTCTGGGAGGATAGGAGGATACAAGGCTTCCCACGGGGACAGTATATGCGCAACTACCCGCAGTTAGAAACCTGCAGTTAGAAACCCGCAGTTAGAACGATCGAGGTCTCTTCGTATATCGCTAACACGCGTGTGTTACACACGAACTATAGAACGACCGAGCTAGGACACGATGCCGCACGTTTATCGCACAGCTGCCGCGGCACGTTCGCTCGATAAAAATAAGTGGCCGCGCGCATTCATCAAGCGGATTATTACGCGGAGATAATCACCGCATTCCTTCGGCAGTGCCGACTTTCTTCTCGCATACAGACGAACGTTGCGCGACATGCAACGGTGCGAGTTCTCGATTTTGTTGAAGCAAATTAAAGCTTCTCGAAGCGCGCGTTCAACGCTTCGGAACAGCTTTGAACGCGCAATTAACGCACGTTAATTATGTAACCCTTCTAAACGCCGGAATTTCCTCCTGAAGATTTGTTCGAGTTAAATTAATCAACAGATCGAGCTAAGGAGAACTTTAAGCGATAAGCTTAAATTGGAAAATAGCCTATCTAAAATCTCATTTTGAATGACTTATAAGATTTTAGTCAAATTTTAGAATAAAATTTATTTTATCTTTTTATATGCTATGCATATGTGTTCTATTAATATATATTTTATATATTTATGCATTCTTTAAGTGTGTTTTGTATTATAAAATTATAAATAAAATTCTCTAGGGTAAACTCGGGTAAGATAGAGAAAAAATGGCCAACCCATGTTTATTCGATGTTTCATGGCGAGCTAGATTGAAAGAACATAAGTTAGTCGTCTTTTCTCTTGGCCATCTTACCTAATTTTACCCTATCACAAATTGTGAATTCCTACACGAATTCGATCGTTTTAAATGGACTGAAGAATACGGCAATCAATTTCGCGGTAAACAAACTCTAGCGAATTTATTTTAAAAGTTTAACGAAATGTCAAACGGTACTAAGTTTGCATTTACAGATTTTTTCCAGACTGCGAGTTGATAACTCTAGAAATCTCCTTATTTGTATGTTTGGTACTTCAATTTCTCTAGAAAGTCATTACTCTAAGACACTCGTACCGGGGCACGTATCGGGAAATCAAAGCGATATTACGTTCGAGTACGTTCTGTACTGTTGCATCAGTGATTACCGTTCGGTAATTAATGCGACTTGATACCTAATTACTCTCG